AATATCCTTTGCAGTCGTGGTGGCCATTATTTTCCTGAGTTCCTCAAACATGACAAGCCTCTGTTCCTGGTTGCATGGTTTGGTTCTGCCCTCGAGCTCAGCTGGGTCTGTAGTAGAAGTTACATTCCTTTCTTCCATTCCTTTTTCTTCTCCATCTTCCTTCACTGTAACAGCATTACTCAATCAAGCCATTAGGATTCCAGTGTGTTAGATATAGACCTACTGGTGCTTAATCTCTTGCCTGTCATCACGTAGGTGACATTTGATGGGCTACATTTCCCGTGGCATACCCCTTCCATTAAATATTTCAGATGCTACATTATAAATCAATCCTTAGACTTTCTGCACAGCTACAATTCATAAGAGTTAGTCTTGAATCAAAATGTTTCATTTCCTCCTTTGTTTCCTGGGAAGCTGGTTGTTGTTGAATATATTGATTCTGTTTCCTGAAAGCCGATGAGAACTATACTGCAATTACCTGAACTTTAAACTGAAAGGCAAATATCATCTGTGGGATTTAAATTATTTATGAATCCTGCCCACGTGTAGTTGGTTTTGTGAATTTAAGAGCCTCAGGCAGTAACTGCACATTGTTTTAATTCAGAAGCCATGTAAAGTGATCTGTTTGTATGGTCCCATCTTTTCTTCAGGAAGTCCTGGCCAAGCAGTACTTGGGATCATAATTGGCTACATCTGATCTCCCCGTTTTCAGCGACAGATTCAGACACACTGACCTATCCTTACGAGTTTTTTAGGCCTATAAAGATTTGACCTCTCCAATTTGTGAACTCAGATACGTTTTCAGATATCCAAGACATCAAAATTATCTGAGCTGCGAGTCTGAATACAGCATTTGAAGCACAGATTAATTTCTTCACAGCTAAGAAGTCTTCAGTCAAAGTGGTGTCTAAATCATAGAGTACAGTATGTTTTTAATGCATAACGTATCCGTGGATGGCCTAAATAGCACTGTGAATCATAGAATCGTTTGGGTTGGAAAACACCTTTAAGACCATCAGGTCCAACCATTAACCCAGCACTGCCAAGTCCACCACTAAACCATGTCCCTCAGCACCACATCTACACGGCTTTTCAGTCCCTCCAGGGACAGTGCCCCAACTGCTTCCCTGGGCAGCCTGTGTCAGTGCTTGACAATCCTTTCAGGAAAGAAATTTTTCCCGATATCCAATCTAAACCTCCCTGGCACAACTTGAGGCCATTTCCTCTTGTCCTGTCGCTTGTTACTTGGGAGAAGAGACTGACCCCCATCTTGCTCCAGCCTCCTTTCAGGGAGTTGCAGAGAGCAATAAGGTCTTTTGTCAGCCTTCTTTTTTCCAAACTAAACAACCCCAGTTCCTTCAGCTGCTCCTCATAAGACTTGTGCTCCAGACCCTTCACCAGCTTCATTGTCCTCCTTTGGACACGCTCCAGCACCTTGAGGTCTCTCTTGTAGTGAGGGGCCCAAAACTGAACACAGAATTTGAGGTGCAGCCTCACCAGTGCCGAGTACAGGGGGATGGTCACTGCCCTGGTCCTGCTGGCCACACTATTGCTGCCACTCTTCCCCAGGCCTCTAGCGTTGCATGGATTTGTGTTGACCCAAGTGCAGACCCAGCACTGAGCCCTGTTGAGCCTCATGCAGTTGGCCTCGTCCCATCGATCCAGCCTGTCCAGATCCCTCTGTAAAGCCTTCATGCCCTCAAGCAGATCAACACTCCTGCCCAACTTGGTGCCATCCATGAAGGTACTGAGGGTGCCCTCGATCCCCTCGTCCTGATCATGGTTAAAGTTATTAAACAGAACTGGCCCCAACACTGCGCCCTGGGGAGCCCCACTCATGTGGACTGAACTCCGTTCCCCACAAGTTACAACTTTTCTAGTAGTGGCTTCAGGAAGCTCTGCTGTATTAGCAGCAAAGCCCAGGCAGCATATATGGAGCTATCATCTCGAGAGGCTGTAACAATGAATGCAAGAATTATCTTTCAGAGTGGAAATTTAGGAGAAAAACGGCTTGTGTCTTCAGTGCAAAGTGGAAAGGTTCTATTTGACACGATTGTGCAATTACACAAAGAATATCTGTTCTCAATTTGGCTTACACGTTGTGTTGCTTATATTCCCCACGACTTATGTATTCAAGTTAACAGTTGTGGTTTTGCCTGCAATTCATAAGGCCTTTTAAAATCTGCCTCTTTCCTTCAAGCCTGCTGTGATCACAAGTATTAACACTTCCAACCCTGAGTACATATGTATGCTGATTCTTTGTCAGCTACAGAGTTGGTTTTGACTTTACCAACAAGAATAACGAAAAACACGTTTGCTTCTGTGAGATGCTGCTCCAAATATTCTGGACTACTGCTGCCAACTCACCTCTGTGAATAGATGCTTGATCCAAGAGCAGGACTAGATCTGCAAGTGATTGTATTTCAGAAATTTTAAAATGATATTCCTTCTCTGTATGAGTTGTGTTTAATTCTAAGGTCTTAGGTGCATACCAAAAGATTTCCAACTGTTTTGCATGAGCAGCGGGCATTCGCGGGGAGCAGGGCCGTACTTGCTTCCATGGCATCAGGTCTTCAAGCCTCACGGGTCTTGTTTTGCCGTGGGTACACGCAGCAGGAGTTAATCTGTTAGTGTTCCCAGGCTCTGTACAGAGATAGCAGCAGGTACTGAGCACGAGCCAAAGCCAGTCTTGCACTGGGTAGCTCAGGAGCTGTGCCCGGGAGCTGCCACGCTGCCAGCTGCATTTTGCAGCCCGGACCACGTTCTGAGCTGCCACCTTTAGCAGTTCAGTTCGTTGTCTGGGTGCAAACTGAAGCTGCTCTGTGCAGTGTCACCTAGTGGTAGATTTGCTTCCAGTGAGGCCGTGCTAATCTATGGAAGCAGAGAGAACGCAAATCTTGGTGAAATGGGAATGCACTCGTCCAGGAGGAACGCGGGATGCTCACGTCAAACTGCAAAGCTGGGGCTTACCGAGTCCGTTCTTTTCCTTAGCTCGCTCCTTTAAACCTGTTTTTCCCTATGGACTATGAGCCATACAAAAGTCTCGTTTACTGTGCAGTGAAACCGTCCTCAAAGTAGGATTTTTTAATCCAAATTGTGTAAAAATAAAATTGGAAAAGCATGAATTTGCAGAATTGTGTGCTCTGAAAACATGTCAGATTAGCAGGCACAGCAGAATTTCTATAAAATATATATAGTTGGCTGCACGAGTTTGAAGATTGATTCCAACTTTTCTCTCAGCATAAGTGTTTAGTGGTGCCCATTTTGTAGGAAATGGACTTCTGCAAGATTTTTAGAAGTCAATAGAATACTGCTTTATTTAAGTTTAAACTTACATAAAATACACAGGATGTGTTTCTGAGTATAGGGACTTGTTTTTCACAAAGTTGATGGAATGAACATGTAGTAGTGTGCTTTCTAAAATATTTTACAATTATTTTATGGAAAACTAGAAATTAGATTCTAAAAAGAAGAAAATTACTAGTTTTATTAGTCCAAAAGGTGCAGTTAGAGGTTGAAACTGACTTTAAACAAAAAAATATAATTTTTATTTTTTCATTTGCATTTTTGTAGTTTGGGATTTTAAGTGAATGAAATGAAATTTAGTCAAATGGATTGTCCTTTTAAATAAAGTTATTTACTTAAATAACTTTATTTATTGCTTTGTTTATCTTATCTTTGCTCCACAAGATCTGCTCTATACAGCCCGACTAGGTGTCTGTATAGCAGTGTACCAGTTGTAGATGATGCTAGGGATGAAAAGAGCTCCTGGGATGAGTTTTCACTGAGCAGCTGTGTTTTCTTTAGCCACCTGCACTCGGCGGTGAGAAGATGCACAGCCCAGCACCTGTCGGACATTGTAGAACGAATGGGACCGGAGCGGGTTCTGTCTGGAACTAAAGCTGTCGCCGATCGGATTTTCCCTGCAATAGCCAGGTTTGCACAGGATAGTTCACAACAAACAAGGTTAGTAAGGTCAATAGTTAAGATAAGCACATTCCAGGTGGCTAAAGTCTCTGCGTAGCTCAGCGAGTGTTCCTCTGTGGTGACAGAGGATGGAATTACGGAATCGTTTAGGTTGGAAAAGACCTTTAATATCATCGAATCCAACCATTAACCCAGAAATGCCAAGACTGTTAAGATAGCATATGTGACAGGGATTACCCGAATGCCCGCTGCAGCTGTGCCCACCCTGGCTGCAGGAAGAAGAGGAGCTCAAAGGACATATTTTGCTGGGCACAGACGAGATACAGGCCACGAAGGGAATGCTGGCACTGGGATCCACCCTGTCTGACTGACGAGGCTGGACCATCCTATGTAAAGACAGCTGAAATGGAAGACTGTTCTCATTAATTTGCTTGGTTGTTGATTAAATAACCATTCTTGAGCATGGTTTCTTTGTGGGAGGACGAAAAGGGTGTCTGGTTACACAAATAGATAGCAATGTTCCTGGGCTTTTCTATTTTGGTGTTACACACGTGCGATTATCCGTAGAGTTACAAAGGAAATCTGTGTTTACGGATGTGTATGTCATGGTCTGTTGCCCTGCAGGTATTATGGTCGAAAGATGCTCTTCACTATGATGACTCATCCTGATTTTGATAAAACGCTTGAAAAGTACGTGCCGACCAAGGATTTGCCTTACATTAAGGAATCTGTTAGCAGTCTGCGTGAAAAGGTATGTGGAAAAGTTCTTGAGTAACAGCTGAGAAATATAAACGTGTAGTAGTGGCCGTTAGGGGTGGACAGTGAACCTACAGAGAATGGGGGAGTGCTCTGAGAGCAAGACAAGTAATGGAGTGACTGCAGCGTGGCAAGGTGCTGCTCGTTAGCTGCCCTGTGCACGCCTCCACTCCTGCAGGGACACTGGATGAAATGAACTTTGCTGCAGTACTTTGCGTGGCTGTCAGACTTGCTTTGACGGGTTCTCCAGCAGTGCAGGGCTGTACCAGCCATGCTCATCATCGGTTGCACCTCTGCGCAGGGTTTGGGGGAGATGCCGTTAGATACACCCTCAGCAAAAGGAAGACGTTCCCATACCAGTAGTGTTGGACATTTGAGGTCATCATCTACGTCCAGAGATGCTCTCAACATCACTGACAGGTAATGATCTTCAGTGTTTTGCCCTGTTAGTGACTTGACCTCTAGGATCATAGCCTCACCACAAGAAGAGGGTATGGAAACATTCACAGCAGAGTTGTGAAAATTAAACATACCTGAAGGAAAAGAAAAAACGTCATGTGTCCCAGATAAACTCTTTCAAATAGGGTAATTGGTAATATTAAAATGGCTTTATGCATTTTGAAGTTAATTTGGCTATTGACTGCCTGTGAAAATAGACACAGTTCACAAAACCTGTGGAGTTCACAGTGAACTGTGTCACCATCAGTACAAGGTGTTGCCGTTCAGAGTCTGTAGAAGAAACGTGCCTAGTGGTGGCCACAGTACAAATTACCTCGTTGTGCACTTCCCTGGACGCCAAGTATGGAGTTAGATCCTAACTGGGGATGCTGAAGGTTTTAGATGATACTCTGCCCAGTTCTGGTTTTCTGTTTTGTCTTCTATTGAACTGAAAAAGAAACCTCTGAAAACTTAAACCAAGCCGAAAACCTGCATCCAAGAACCTGAGTTCAGAGGGGCCGTGATTGCCTCCAGGGGGAAGGAAGTGTGTCTGTTCAGGAACGGATTTCTTTGACACTGGAAGGTCCCTTCCAACTCCAACCATTCTATGACATGGTCTCTGCTGTTCAAAATAATAACTAATTCCACCTTTGATGGTAAATTTTGCTTTGGCATGTAACATGACATGTCTGCTTCCTTGCAAGAGGTGTTACTGCGTCGTGCCAAAGACTCTCTTTTGGTTGAGGTGCTTTCCGTGGCCTGTGACACACTAGCAGGACAGCAGGTTTTGATGGCGCCTTTTGTTCTCACAGAGCTGGTGGGTTTAAGTTTGAAAATACAAAAAAGATGTTTGTTCCATTCTCCATCAAAGACTTCTGTTCACAAATGAGAAGTGAGCTAGCGACTCTGGATGGGTCTGTAAATGCAGGACACTTACCTGGACAGAGAAGTGATTCCACAGATTTTGTAGTTCCTTCCATGACTGTCTAATAAGATTAGATGCTACAGAAAATTTGTTTCTAAATGTTCTGTGAAGAGTTTTTGAATTTCCACCTCAGCATGGCACGTTGCTTAGGTGCCACCTAGACTGGGGTCAGTGTTTACAGTACTTCAAGGATAAAGAATTAAACTACGTTAACTTTTTTTTTCCTCATATTGATGTGAGGGAAGTTCACAACAGTT